ACGGTGTTGGATAGCCCTATCAGGGAACTACCTTGTGACCCAATTTTATTGACCTAGGTCAAACTGATGACGTCACAGGTCAGGTCAAAGGTCCAATTTTCACCGTTTACAGGCATTTCAAGAAATGCGTTGTAAAATCGAGTAAAATGCATTTCATTGAAAATCATCGATGGGGGAATGTTCTTCAAACACATATTTTGCTATTTGAGGTCACTGATACCAGGTCAGGTCACAGAGGTCAGGTCACTGGGGGGTCACAATATGAAAGTGTCGTGTGATACATGTTTTATGGTCCATTTTACATGACAAATGCGATTATGTGGGTCAGGCAGCCTTTGGGGCCAGCTTAGGTCACGTTTTGGTCAAGGTCAGGTCAAGGTCAGGTCAAATTAGGTCAAATTTCAAAGTTGATATTTTTGCATAAAATGGGTATCGAATCGATGCAGCTTGTCACGGGGAGTTCAATGGTGGTCTTTGTTTTGCCGTACGTGGTCTAGAATCGCTAAAAATTCAGTTTGAAAATTTGACGTCATCATTTTTGAACAGTTTTTTTCGCTATAACTTGGCCAACAAACGAGATATCGATCTGAAATTTGGTATGTACATAGAAGAGCGCAGGGACTATCACATATATTCCGGTTTTTCGAAATTCGGATTTTTTTTTATTTTTTTTTTAGTTTTTCTAAAAAAATCAATTTTTTGAATTTTTGAGGGTCAAAAACCCAAAATTTTGAAAATCCGAGATAGCAGTTTTGTAGCGCCGCTTTTTGTCTACCAGACCATATAAAGAACTTTGAAATTGCTTGATAACTGTAGATTTGGTGAGCGTTTCAAGATTGCATGTTTTTTGCTCATTTTTGCTCGAACATGACCTCAGTTTGACCTCAATTACTCCTGACCTAAGGTGACCTAAGTTTTTAAATTTGGTGTGAAGGTGTCAAATTGATGCCCGGGAAGGTACTGAAAATTTGGCGGCGCTGCGCGCCGCCGTTTTCTTGCTATTTAGGAAAAACCACAGGGGGTGGGCCAAAATGGCCCCCCCCCAACGGGGCGAGGGTAATTAACTTTCGCCTATTTTGTCATTTTTACAAGTCGCCGCATAACCCCGAATAATAGAGCTAAAGCGCCATGGAAAAGTGCATTCGATTGCTCTATCAAATTTCAATGTTCTTTGCATGCAAGAATGTATGTATTATGTATGCATTTACAATTACATTCATGAGCGATCCACACATGGCGTCCGGTAGGAAGTCCTCAGATTTGACTCGGGGCCGTTTAGCATTCAGATGGCAAAAGCTCAAAATTGACAGTACCGCACCGTGATCTGAACTACGTCGAATTGTTTCCATTCGACACACCTATTAACCGCGTCAATGGGGTTCATCGGCGCTTATTGTATCCGAAAGTTAAACGAAGTTACCACAGGTGAGTAGGTACCTAAATGGCACGACATTTTCACCAGGTAAGGCTGCAAAAACATTCCAACCAGGTCACAGGTGGCAAACGACTGAGTTGAGCAATCCTATTCACGCACTTAAACAGCACAAGTGCAAACGTTGTGGCGCTATGTCGCAGCTGCACGCAGTCCTTGTCGTTCTTGCCCAACAACGTCATCAAGCTGCTTGCTTCTGCTTTGAAAGCCACGAGAAGACGCGGTATTATCCCGTTCCCGGTGCTTTACGGCCTGAGAGTCTGTCCCGACCACAGAACCGTTCCACGCCGGTTTAGGGTCTGCTGTGATCGTCTTGGCACTGTACTGGACGCACTGGTAGATCTCGAGCTGGCAGTGGCCTGGACGCACTGGTAGATCTCGAGCTGGCAGTGGCACTTACGTCACTAATCCCGTGGGGTTCTCATCATTTACCGACTTCCCGAGAGTACCAGAATTGTCAATCGGAAACATTTGTCTGCATACACCAATACCGAAGTGATGCTGACTGGATATTTGATACTCTGAAATCTGTATTTGTCCTTGGGAATGAATTGGCTTCGTCTTCTCAATACTCTTAAATTCGCAATGCTACTGGGTAATGAAAACCCACACCGAACGTGAAGTAATAGGTAAGTATTCAACCTTCTAATAATCTTATTCACAATGCTCAGCACAACGTTCAAATACCTCAAATCATAAGTATTCAACCTCAGAACCAGTTGACTGACCTAGCAAACGTACGCTAACGAAGCGATGATTAACCCTATTAGTGGCAGGCTCCTGGCTACCCCATATTATTGGCAGGGGGGGGGGGCTGTTTACGACCCCCCCCCTTGATATCTCGAGATCTAACCGGCCGATTTTCAAAATTCAAACGGCATTCGATTTGGCTCAACGAGATCTACATTTCTAAAAAAATAAAATTAAAAATGTCAATAGGGGGGTAGAGGGGGGTAAAAACGGGCAAATTGCAGATACATTTTAGACTCTTTATCACGGCCAGGTTTCTGAACCAATCTTAACGCAACTTTTGCCGATCGATAGAGAATGAACCAGGAATTCACATGGATCCTAAAAATATGCATTTTCAAAAATCATAACCGAAGGTTTGTTGTCAATAGTTAAAACACTATTCTTTAGAATTGTGTTTTTCTATTGAAAAACAAATCTGAGTTCCCTGACAATTTGGCAAAAGTAGGCGGATACAGATCATTGAGATTGGGGGTACACAAAAAGTATAGTAAATAAGGTTTTTGTTGGTACTGTTTCTAAAAAGGGTGGCAATGGTCTTGTTATGTTACAATTTTCTTATGAGAGAACGACTAAAATTGTATTGGTCATGCATAGGCGGTGTCAGGGCACCTATGTTGGGAGGTAAAAAATAACCCCCTTTTTGGACGCCTGGATCCGCCTATCAGGGGCGGATCCAGGAAAACTCCAAGGGGAGGGTCATGAATCGAAGTGGTGCCCCTACCTATACCCAAAATTAAAAACTCAACGGATTTCGTCCACTTCATTTTGGTGGTGCCCCCATTTTCAGTTTTTTTTTATTTTTTTTTATTTTTAGTCAGTATCTTAGCTCTTAGCCACAACCACATTTACCAATTGTAAGCAAGTATATATGAATGTGCTATGTGTATATATGTTGAGGACGCTGAGTAGCGAGTACTTACCAGGAACGTTATCAGGTAAGCAAATCGTTGTCAGTCCGACAAACTTGACCCTGGCGTCTAAAGGGTCTGTCCTTGACACTTCAGGCTTGTCAGGGGCACCAAAAACCTTCCAGGGACACCACAAACCTGTCAGGGGCACCTACGGCCTTGTAGGGGCGCCACAGGCCCACCAGGGGCACCACAGGTCTAGCAAGTATACACGACAGGCCTGTCAGGGGCACAACGGGCCTGTTGGGCCCATGAGCACCCCTAGGGGCAGGGGCACCACAGTCCTTCCAGGGGCACCGCAGGCCTGTGAGGGGCGACAGCGGCCTAGCAGGGGCACCAGTCAACACAGGCCTGCCAGGGGCACCACAGACCTGCCAGGGGCACCAGAGGCCTGCCAGGAGCACCACCGACCTCGCAGGGGTAACATGGGCCTGTCAGGGCCCAGGGGCACCACGGGCTTGTCGAGAGGCACTTCAGGCTTTTCAGGGGCACCATAGTCCTCTCCGGGCGCAGGGGTAGCAGGGGCACCAGAGGCCTGCCAGGGGCACTACAGGCCTAGCAAGGGCACCACTGGTCTATCAGGGGCACCACGAGCCTGTCATAGCCTGGCATCTCAGGCTTGTCAAGGCCCAGGGGCACCACAGGTCTGTGAGGGGCACCAGCGACCTAGCAGGGGCACCAGTCAACACAGGTCTGCCAGGGGCGCCACAGACCTGCCAGGGGCACCACAGACCTGCCAGGGGCACCAGAGGTCTGCCAGGGGCACCACCGGCCTCGCAGGGGCACCTTGGGCCTGTCAGGGGCACAACGGGCCTGCCGAGGGGCACTTCAGACTTTTCAGGAGCACCAGTCCTCTCCGGGCGCAAGGGCACCAGAGGCCTGCCAGGGGCACCAGAGGCCTGCCAGGGGCACCAGCGGCCTAGCAAGGGCACCAGAGGCCTGCCAGGGGCACCACAGGCCTAACAAGGGCACCACGGGCCTGTCAGGGGCACCTCAGGCTTGTCAGGGCCCAGGGACACCACAGTCCTTCCAAGGGCACCGCAAGCCTGACAGGGGCACCAGAGGCCTGCCAGGGGCACCACAGGCCTTGCAAGGGCACCACTGGCCTGTCAGGGGCACCTCAGGCTTGTCAGGGCCCAGGGGCACCACAGTCCTTCCAGGGGCATTACAAGCCTGTCAGGGGCACCAGAGGCCTAGCAAGGGCACCACAGGCCTGCCATGGACACCACAGGCCTGCCAGGGGCACCACCGGCCTTGCAGGGGCGCCTCAGGCCTGTCAGGGGCACCACGTGCCTGCCGGGGACACTTCAGGCTTGTCAGGGGCGTTACAGTCCTGTCAGGGCCCAGGGGCACCAGGCCTGTGGTGCCCCTGGCGGTCCTGTGGTGCCCCTGTCAGGACTGTGATACCCCTGATAGGCCGGTGGTGCCCCTGGCAGGTCTTTGGGCCCCCGGGCCTCAAGGGGGGGGCCATGACCCATGTGACCCCCCCCCCCCTTGGATCCGCCCCTGCCGCCTTTTATAGCAAAAACGTGTCAAAAGAGGATGCACAATAACTTTGTATATGTTATCACATGATACCTTTCATTCACTGTTCGTAAAACTGGTGCAGCATCGTGATCTTCGCCCAAATGACTCGCTTCACGAATAGGACCCCCAATTCCCAGTGCTCTGGAGCCGCCCCTGGTAAAGTTATGAACTTGAAATTTTCAGGGAATGTGCCCAATTTAGTTTTAGGAAAAGTCAGAAAATTTCAGCATCGTAGCTTCAGCGGTTTTGGAGATATTCCCGAAAAACCTGAGGGGTGGATAAAAACAACCCCCCCCCCCCTGCCACTAATAGGGTTAATGTTTGAGATTAATTATGCATGAGTTATGAACCCAAAGGCCAGTGCTGCAAACGTAATGAGCATCGGAAGTATTCTTTATTATAAAAATGACAACACCTGTTCACGTCGTGAGATTCAAATATACATTAAACCATCCTGGTTACCCTTATAATTAACTGTGGGAACAGTTTTCTGACTAATTTGTAACATACATCCATGCATAGATGGATTGAGGATGAGAAAACACATTCATGGGCACGATTACTTAGCATCCCACAACGCGGACTCGGAGTATGAATACATGCAATATGTGTTTGCATTAACTTAAAGAACCGACATTATGTCATTGACTGATTCCAATCAGTCGACAGCGAAACATGCATTTCGTACAACGATGGGACAGTTGGTAGCGGGCAGACCGCACTACGGACATATGGTCCGTATTCTCCAGAGTGGGAATACGGACCAGCCGCGGCCGGTCCCCAGGTTTGCCATCCAACACCAAGAGGATGGCGCTCTCAGCACAGCGTGAGCATCATCCGACCGCAATAATGCCACCCATATGGCACATCCGTGGCATCACGGTCGAGAGTCAGTCACCCCGGCGGTGTCGACCTTGTCGGGCCGGCCGGGAGCTGCGGGCCACGCGCCGGCCGCCGGCGGCTGCTGCACGTGGTACCTCCTGCGCTGGATGCCGTGACTGGTCTCCATGTGAGCGTTGAGCAGCGAGACGCGCGCGTACACGCGGCCGCACAGCCGACACGTGGTGGCGCCGCGGTGCACCTTGAGGTGCGACTGGTACGAGAACAGGTGTTTATAGACGCGATTGCACTGGGCGCATCGCCAGCTGCCCGTCAGCGCCGCCCCGGCCGCCGCCGCCGCTGTGGACAGACAGGTGGGCTGCGGTCAGCGCGGCGGCGACGGCGGCTCAGCTATCGGCCGGTAGGCGCGGCGGACGGCGCCGCCGGTCCGGCGCCGGCTCGGTGCCGTGGTCCACTCGCAGGTGCACATTGAGGTGGCTGCGGCGCCGGAACACCATGGCGCAGTGCGGACAGCGCGTGTTGCCCGCGTGCATGTCCATGTGCATGCGATAGCACCAGCGGTTGGTGTACCGCTTGTCGCACAGGTGGCAGACGTGCTCGGCCGCTGAAACAGCACGGGAGGGGCCCGTCACGGCGCCGGCCCGGCCGCGCACGGAGAGGACGGCACCGCGCCGGGCCGCGAGCGCCGGCCGCGCCGCGCCACACCGTGCACACGCTCCAGGTGGTCGTTCAGCTTGGCCACGCGCGAGAACACCCTGGCGCAGATGGGACAGGTGGTGTCGCCGCGGTGCACCGACATGTGCTGGCTCAGCGAGATACTGTGCAGGTAGCGTCTGCCACAGACCGGGCAGCTCCAGCGCCGGTCGTCGCCGCCGCCGCCGCCTGCCGACAGACACACGGGCCGGGGGCGCTGCGTCAGCGGCGGCGACGGCGGCGCCGAGCCGGGCCTGAACGCCGCAGCTCAGCCCCGAGATCGGCAGCGAACGCCGACAGAGAGGCCAGGCCACAGAGTCGCAGCGCTGATTCCGTCTGCATGGCGTGATGTCTCAACACCAGTTTATAGCACTTTGTAACCGGACAACCGCCACGGTTGCCACAGCGAGTTTTCATCTCGCGATATTTATCATTATCCATGAGCTCCCAATGTTATGTATTATGACGTTACAACTTCCAAGACAATGCAAGATAACCAACATAATTAATTTAGCGATGAACCCACTTCACCATGAAGTGAAAGCACAGGGAGAGACGGCCAGATAAGGCATACAAGTGTTTCAGTATGAGGCGTCATGAATGATTCGTGCTAGTAGGTTTGTGGATCCTCTCGAGACCCTTTTGATTAAAATTGACGACGGAAAATTAAATAATGATATTTTTCATTCGTTGAGAATATGTACAGAGTATGCTGCTGCCTCCCTGACGATACAGCGTCCACAAAGAATGCTTGCAATGCACTCAATATCTGGGTAACCCGGGCCGTGGCCAGCGTTCTTACGCTCTGGCCTTACGATTCTTGCAGATACTCATCAAAAGAACGTCGGCACATAGCGTTATCGTTTTTGCCACGACATTTAAAACAGGATCAAACATCCGGGCGCATTTTTAGCTCATACTTTTCGACAATTGCAAGTAAAATAATCAATATTCCAAACGAGTAATACGAGTCATTTTCTATTTGTACTCTCTTCAGCACACGATGGCGCCCAAGGCCCCAGCTACAGGACTCCTCCTCTTCCTCTAACCCTACCCCTCAGCACAGGGAAACCTGCACTACCCTTCAGTCAAACCCGAGTCTCAACCATCGCGTCGGCCGGCTACATCGTCACGACGAGCTGCTACACTTAATAGCATTTAGTGGCTTTTACCTGTCAAAGATGAATATATTTTGGACACTGGAAACTGACCGTCGACTGATTTGATCATATAAGCATGTGCCCATCCATTCGGCATCGGCACAGCAACATCTTTAAAGCGATCAACTGCCTACGTGTAGAGCAGAACGCATACAAAATTCACACTTTACATGAGCATTGAGCAGGCCACGGTCCGCTCAAATCCTGGACCTGCTGTTGATTTAGTGGCTGTGTATTGATCACCCCTTTCCCGTTCTTAGGCGTGCGCGAAGCTAAGCTAGCCCTTCGCCGCAATGTAGCTCAGCAGCTGACTTGGAGAGGTCCTCGGGGAACTTAACTGACGTAATAGAAAAGCAGAAAAAAGACGGAGGACGGGGATATTGAACGCTGAGAGCAACACTTATCAAACCTTTTCAAATCACAGGTATCACAAACACCTAACGGAACGGCCGATTTCGACTGCGTAGCAAGCACAGAGGTCAGCTCTTAGAAGTGACATCGGGGCACTGCCCTAGTGTCAACAATGGCAAACGAGCGAGTAATCTTTAGTGACGCAACGACAGACGGCTGGTTTGATAATCGCTGAAACGGTACTGGATGCTATTGCTGGGATGATAGTGTCGGTCTGTGGCATCCAAGCATGGATGGCTGGTTACCACAAGGAAGAAGCTCTGGCAAACTTTCCTAGTTACAGCAAGAGCAAGGCGCTTATTCGCAAGCTGTTAACCAAGTAACCGATCGCCTAATCGCGCTGAAAACCGAAACTGATAAGAGCTCAGAAAATCAAACGGCCAGATCTCGCCGAGGAAAGGAAAAACTGATTCATCCCAGGCTGCCGGCAAGTTTTGTTGTACGACAACAAGGCTCCTATTGAAATATTTTACTCAGCAAACTTCCATAAACATCACGTATCAACGCTTAGCAGCACTACATACTAATGTTACGGGCGGCTGTGACCGCCCGTTGTGGCATGCCTGGCGCCGCCCGTGGCGCCTCCCCGGCTGGCCGCGCCCGGCGCCGCCCCTGCCGCGTGGCCCTCGGGCGGGGTCGAGGGCTGGCGCTGGCTGGGCGGTCGGCGGCCCGGGAGAGGCAGGGAGACCGTGGTTACGAGCGGTTGGCTCTGTGGTTCTTGTTTGGGCCTCTGCCGATAATACAGTAAAGCATCGAGTCTGAGTGTGTTCAGCTCCCGCAACATTTGGCGCGGTCGGTAGGACTGCAGAAGACGACAAAGGGTGAGTTCATTAATTTCATTTGATGATATTTTCTGTTCTGAGGGGAACGTTAGGAATAAGGCGGTCCGCCTGGGTGCAGTTTTGAATAATTTGGTGAATTGTTTCCGCTGGCCATGGATTTCAACGACACTATTTTGGTATCGCGAACCCCTCGTTTTGCGGGTATAGAGACAGATGATTGGGAGCGGTGGATATCTCGTTTCGAGTCGTTAACGGTGGGACTCGGAGACGTTGAGCGAGTTAAGCGGCTGTTGCCTCTGCTGGATGGCGTCGCACTCGATTATGCGCATTCGCTGTATCAGGGTGACAGTTCGTACTCTGAGATAAAGTCAGGACTTGGGGTCCGGTTTGGTCGGTCAATCGAGCCCTTACAGGCGCAGGCCGAGCTGGGGCGCGCCTCCCAGTCGCCGGGGGAATCAGCTGAGAGCTTCGCTGACCGTATTAAGAGACTGGGGCGGGCTGCGTTCCCTCATTCTACCGGTCCGTCAGGGGAGGGAAAAGGTCCTGAGGAAACGTATGCAGAGAGGGCGTTCGTGATGAAAACCCTGACGAGTCGGTTCATATGTGGACTTCGGGATGAGTGGCTCCAGACGAAACTGTGCCACCGTAATCCTGAGTCACTGTCTGCGGCTGTAGCGGTGATCCGAGAGCTGCATAAACGCCAGGAGGTCGTCCAGGCGGTACGCGCTGCTAACCCATCGACGCATACAGGTACTGGGCCCCTTCCCCTGGGTGCTGTAGCGTCAGCTGTTCATGCAGAGGTAGGAGGTGGGTCGCAGCAGGATGCAAGGATAGCTCAGCTGCAGCAGGAGATCGGCCAGCTGCGGTCTTCGTTGGAGGCGTTCGCCGTTGCCAAGACGGACCACCTGCCTGAGGCTGTCAAATGTTACGGGTGTGGTGCCCCCGGCCATTTTCGGCGTGACTGCCCGGTGGTACGCCGTGGTCAGCCGAGAACTGGACCGAGAGCCACCAGGGTGAAATGTTTTTCGTGCGGGCAGGAGGGTCACATTCGGAGCAACTGTCAGTCGGCTGTACAAGCTGCCACCCCGCTCCAACCGTTTTGTTTATTCTGTGGCGAGGCTGGGCACTGGATGGCGGCATGCCATTCTCGCCTGCAGCAGGGGCCTCCAGCAATGGGTGGACGTCGGGGGCTGATGTCGAGGGAAGCCCTTCCATCTGATAAGCCGGCGGAAAACTAGGGGCAGCTGGCCCTGTGGGACAAGAGCCGGCTGCGTGTATCCAGTCCCGATTAACTGCAACAGCCATTCGAGTCCACTTGGGCAGCCTCGAAGTATGGGCGCTGGTCGATTCGGGTGCCGACTTTTCCATGGTCAGGGATGGGCTCCAGCAGCGGTTGAAAACGGAACTGGCTTGTCAGGCCACCACCCCGACGCGGTCCGCGAAGGGAGCTGGTGGTAGCCCCCTGAACATCGTTGAGGTGCTCCGTGATGTCCCTATCCAGGTGGAGGAGGAGTCGATTGTGTGTCCACGACTGGCTGTGGTGTCGGGGCTGGTCTATGACGTGATCCTTGGACGTGACTTCTGTTGCCAAAACAGAACTATCATTGACGATGAGAAGGGGGTGATCCGTATGAAAGGGATGACGATTCCACTTCCAACATACCCTGAGATCCGTCCCCCGCGGGCTAGAGTCATTCTTGGCGATGCAGTAACACTACCAGGTCGTTCGGTAACAACGGTAGCAGCAGTGGTGCAGCGACTTGATGGCCAGGGACCTTTTGTGACGTCAGCAGGCTCGGTAAGTGGGATGATGGAGCCAAGCCGCACGGCGGAGCGTGAGGATCTATTGATTCCACGGGCTGTGGTGGTGATCGCCTCCAATGGCACCATACCTATCCGGTTGACGAATGTCGGAGCGGAGGGCGTCCGTCTCTTGAAGGGCTCTGATGTCGGGACGTTCCTTGCGTTTGGGGGCGGTGAAGACGCCCTGTGTGTTTTGTGTCCCGGGGCAGACTGTGCCGATTGCAATGTGGCGAGCTGTGGAGATGGAGGTAATCCATCTCATGATCCTGGAGAGGTGGAACCGGAGGTGCAACAAGCCCTGTCACCAGAACTGACAGACTTGAGTGAGAGAGGGCGCTCAATTCGAATCTCTGATGATGCGTGAGCTGTATCAGAGGCTCGGTATCCACAAGACTAGAACATCGCCTTATCATCCTGAGAGCGACGGGATGGTGGAGCGCTTCATGAGGACCCTGAAAGACATGGTGTCGAAATACATCGACAGCCAGGGCCTTGACTGGGACGAAAGTACCAGATCATACGCCATGGCCTACAATTCTTCCCTCCACGAAACCACCGGTCACACACCTTTCTACATGATCCATGGCTTTGAGCCTCGGTTGCCTTTGGATGTAATGTACGGAACCGATGAAGTCGCAATACCAGCTGAAACCTTCCTGAACAAACGGCTGAAGAACATGAAGCGGGTCTTCGCACAGGTGAGGAGAGCCTCCTCCCAATCAGCTGCTCGAATGGCGGTTCGCCATGACAGCAAACTCAATTTTACCGCGTACCCAACGGGCTTGAAGGTGTGGGTACGAGACCACACTGCCGCTGTGGGAGGAAAACCGAAGCTGGGTCTGCCGTTTAAAGGACCGGTGACCATCGTCGAGAGAAGAGGCACACCGGGGGAGGAAGTTACCTACCGGATACAGGACGTCCGCGGCAAGACACGCGTCGTGCACCACAACGACCTCAAGGAGTTCATCCCTCGTCGGACCGACTTGCGGCCAGTTCAGGATCCGAGTGGTCCAAATGGACGTGGTGAGGCCGTGGGGGTGGATCCCGTGAGCGACTGTGGTAACGAGCATGGCGTTCTGCTCGAGGTGCCGCTAATGCACTTACTCGGGAGAGCTGGCCCATCTGGTGATGTGGGCGTCGCTCAGAGGGGAATGTTGCCGCCAATGTCATACGTGACCAGATCAGGCCGAGTGTCGCGACCACCTGAAAGGTTCCAGGCGGGACTATGAGTGTGGTGGAGGTGGTGAAGGCTGTGATTGTGTATATAGTTGTAATGTAAATAGCGTGTCGTAAGTGTCGCATTGTTCAATGTATGATTGTTTCCGTGAGGGGGGAGGGGTGTTACGGGCGGCTGTGACCGCCCGTTGTGGCATGCCTGGCGCCGCCCGTGGCGCCTCCCCGGCTGGCCGCGCCCGGCGCCGCCCCTGCCGCGTGGCCCTCGGGCGGGGTCGAGGGCTGGCGCTGGCTGGGCGGTCGGCGGCCCGGGAGAGGCAGGGAGACCGTGGTTACGAGCGGTTGGCTCTGTGGTTCTTGTTTGGGCCTCTGCCGATAATACAGTAAAGCATCGAGTCTGAGTGTGTTCAGCTCCCGCAACACTAATATTCCAGGACGTCGGGTCACTCGCTGATGGTAATGGTCTGAAGTGAAGCATGAATGGCCAACACTATCAGAGCTGTACATGATTCCCCGCGGCCTGATCACAACGGTGAATTACTACACAGAACAGGTTCAACAGAACGACATCAACAACGCAGCAGAAAAGCCTCCCGTGATCAAGCATCTGTCGAGGCTGTCAAGAACAATTTTATGCCATGAAGGCACATCGGCGCGAAACGCGTCAGGCCGGGGCAGTGTAGCCGTAACAAACTCCAGGGGTTTTGACAGAAAGGACTGTGGCCGCCTGACCGTGCAACATCCGTGGGCGGTCTCCAACGGCAACTAACTGGCTTAGCGTGCCAAGCCATCTGGACAAAATGGCACTGGCCATCTTCGAAATTGTACTGGACAGCAACCTACAGGCTACTGACCAGTGTCGTTGGTCTCGACACACTAGGAGCTAAATCAACGCGGAGATACTGGGCAATCAGTTGGTGAGTGGTATATCGGAGCGCACGAGGAAGTGTGTCGGACTGTGGAGAGGACGCACAGATAAATAGGCCAAAAACCGAGCATAATTAGTCCCATTCCAAATAAGCTGTAACTAAAGAAGACGATACCAATGTCCTTCCACAATGTGCTATCAAATGACAGGAATTTCAGCCAGAACACAGCCAAATAATAATGTTCAATCATCAGCCAGCATTACGGAGAGTTGACATTGATTTGCAGTTTATTCATCGGCATCGCCCCAGCTAATATTGCTAAATCGTCCGGATGAGACCTAACTCTTGGTGGTATCAGTTCACCTTTATTTCAAATATGTTACTTCTCATTTTTTATGCCATATCCGGTAAAAGCAACAGTCCAACCATATATTGCTCTCCCAAGCCACGAATTGGTATTTTTAGACAAAGGTTTCCGGATCACGAGCCTCATGTGGCACACAAATGTGCCAACACAGCTCCAATCTCCCAGTACAGTAAGTATAAAGCTGTACAAATAAATGAATGAATAAATAAATCAATGGAGAAATACTTGATAAAGATATCCCTTGAAGCGGTCGATAAAATGTACTAATTGTACTTACTACTAAGGCACCAATTTCGTGGTTGATATAACACGTCGAAAGAGCATCCCGTGTCCCGCAAAGCCCTTTCTCGCAAAAGTAACAACCTGATGAATGAGCGAGCATCCCGAAACCCAAAATGAAATTATTTCCGCAGTCTGCCTACCTTGTTGTGCTCCTTCGTCCGAAGGTCCTGCCGACGAGTGTTGTATCACGTCCCCGGCGCCGCCTGCGAAACACACGCGTGCACGTCAGACACAGAGAGACGATGCTCACAACACCTTGCATATGAAAGGTTACTACGCAACGAGAAGCAAATTACGTCCAGCCTAAGGAGCCACGAGGAATGAAAAGCTAACCAACTGTGTACGATGACCACATAAGTGGATAGGCAGTTAACAATAAGTGTAACATCCAGGTCATAGATCGTACGCCGGTCGTGGTCCGCACTTCGCGCCACCAGCACTGACCCTGATCGGCGACGGAGCTGAGGAAGCCGGCCACGTCGGCGGCCTCGTAGCCGGCCATGTCGTAGCCGCCTCCGGACGGCGCCGGCGGCCCGAAGCCGGCGTCCGGCTCCTCCCCGTCCGGCTGCTCCAGCTTGACGCCGAACTCGGCCGGCTGCGAGTCGGCCGACAGCGGCCCCGAGTCGGACGAGCCGTCGGCCGAGACGCGCCGCCTCTTCACGGACGGCTGCTCGGCCGCAGCTGCCGCCGCCGCCGGCCCGCGGACCGACGACGGACTCTGTGCCGCGGAACCTGACGCCGAGGCGGACGACCGAGGCGGCTGCAGCCGAGAAGAGGCAACAGAACAAAACATCAGCGATGCACGCATCGCGCAGACTACACACCTGACAGCAACTCTGGGCACTACCGATTGGCTAACAGAATCCCTAAACACTTTTTCCATGATAACTGGTTTCTGAATTCACATTTTGCCAACCATAGTGGGGTGAAATAAATTGCTACTACTTTGGCACCTAGTTAGGGAGTAAATCAAATCGCATTGAAAAAGCAGCATCAAACCTTAAATGTGTGCGAAAATGGGGTCAATTATGACACGCAGTGGCTGCAGCAGACAGCAACAGTCAAAGAACAGCTGAAGACACCAGTCCACCACCATGTGCGTGCATGGCGCCTGATGACCTGTTTCCCAATTACCTTGTGCTGCTTCTGCTGCGTGGGCACTTGTGATGAAGGTGTTCCTGGTTGCACATAATCATCTCCAGCTAGTCCTCGAACCTGCAGCATCTCGGCAGTCTTGAGGAAGCTGGCCAGCTGTCCCTGTGTCACATTCACCTCGCCCTTGTACACAAACTCCACCACAGCCACCAGGTCGACAAACGAGGCATCCTTCAGGAAGAACACAGGGTGCTGACATGGATTCTCCTGTGAATGTGGACACAAAGACAGTCATTTTGAAAGTTTTGTTTTTGCTGTCACTTATTTGCCATCTTAGTTCTTACTGGTCATAACAGTAATAGATTGAGTAGGTAGCAGCTATGTGTTTAATGTGTGAGAATCAGAGAGAGCACATCATTCTAGGTAATTGCATTCACATCACCAGAAAAAATGCTAATATAGCGCTCGAAAGCTTTAGGATCACTAAGATCAGCCTGTTGTATATTCAATGCCTAATTACATGAAGTCAACTTAACCATTTCATCACCATTAGGTACCCCACCAAGTACCAACCTTAAGCAGATCCCTGAAGTAAGGACTGCATGCAGACAGCATCATTCTATGGGCCTTTATCTTCCTTCCTTCACAGCACAATGTTATGTCTACCAGTTCTCCATCTTGCCGCAGATTGTCAAACACAGATGTTACACTAGTTTGGAAGTTGTTCCATTTCAAACAAAACTTCTGGTTGGCATCCATTGTGTTCTAAAAGAGATAAAAGTAATAGTAAAAAATTCAATAATAATAATTCAAAAAGGATAAAGATCTTCATGTCAAATGTGTAATTGTGTATCCACCTATGTAAATTGCATGTAAAAAGAAAATGAGTTAATGACACCATTGGAAATTTGGACTGTTACAATAAGTCAGATAAAACTGAAGTACATATTTCCATTTGAACAAAAAAAAAAAGAAGAGAAAACACAAAGGCAAAGCGAATTCATACAGGTGTACACAAAAATGAACTAACATTACTTTGATTGTGTACCCAGCAGCAATAGCCACAGAAGATAGGTACTAGGTCAAGGATGCTTGAAATAAGAAATGCATATTGGCACCTGACTGGCTTAAGCTCATAATTATGACAGGTCAAAAGCATCTGTTAGGGAAGTAGACCACTTTAATCAACATATGTTATAGGTACTATAGTTTTATTTTTAAGCTTGAAATAATCAAAAGAGAAAATAATTTTATCTGAACAAAAGCAATTTTAAAACAGTTTCATGTAGAAAAACTATATCCCATCTAAGGTGGATGCTGCATGGGTACTGACTAGTGCTCGCCGCCGAAGCTTACTGTGCTTGATGCTTCCGTTATTTAGGTGAATTAACACGTTAAACAATCATATTGCGTACCTAGTTCAAAACAGCCTGCGCCCTGCAGTGCCTGCACAATGATTGGCTGAGCTTTGGCTTATACGACACTGCATCCTTGCACAAGCCCCTATCCCTACAAGTCACCACATTCCTGCACAAGGCACTTTTGGGAGTGAAAATACCTTCTCACCTTCAAAAAAGTTAATGAATTGGCATGAAAGTGATGTCGCTCTGTTCAGAAAAAGCGAAAACAAATATCTACCAAATTTAACCTAAAAATAGTCACCGGTTTTCAAGATATTAGACTTTTACTTTTTACTTTTTGGATCTCTCCTGTTTCTCGCGACTTTATTTGGAAGCAATAATTTGGCAGCCTTGAAGTACGGCAGACGTTACACACAAAGCCGCGTATACCACCATGCGTTAACGATGGCTTAAGTCTAAGATTTAAAAATCATTAGATCTCTGCTGACATCACAAATTCTAAGGGGCATTCCAATGCATTAGCCCCTTAGAATCCAAAAACTGCAGGTTTGAAATTCCCTGTCTCCGAAGTAAGGCATTTTTCGATGTTGTGGGTGCCCAAACCAGTATTCGCAAGCCATGGCCACCAATTTGGCTACCTCAACTCAAAACTAATGTTAATGTGGGATGTTCACTTTCAGTGATTGTTACATATTGATATTTCGTCAGGCGTCAAAGCTTCGGATTTGTGCGAGTCTCAGTTTAAGCTACAAATCTGCTATTGCCTATTCAGTTCAAACTCCACATTAATTTTGAAATCACTTTGGAAAAAAAAACTTTAAGCCTTTACCTTTGAAACCTTTGAATTCAAGTCAAAAAGTAAAGTAAAGTAGCAAAGTAAAGAAGCAATGGTGGGTAAAAGATGGGATATATTGTCTTACCTACCAAACCAAATCAAATTATGTCACTTCAACTTGTCAACCAGTGTGATCAAAGTTCAAATAACACTTAATAGCCACATCAGCGTTTACAACGGTCATGACAACTTAACAAACACAGCAAATAATGATAAGCCCTTTTGAAAATCTAAATCAATAATGTAACGGAAGTTAGCAGGGATTCAGCAGGGGTTCAGCAGGGATTCAGCAGGGATCGACGGCCCCTACGATTTCGCTGAATTTTGGTGGAGAGGTGCAGACGACCCCCACCGGACACGATTTGGTAGCCGAGGTCTGTGACGTCAGCCGGGCGTGAAGTTTTCCCTTCACCTTAGGCTTCACACACAAACCGGCCGAAGTTCATGCCAGGATAGCCCGGCTTGAAAGTGCAAAAATGATTAAATTTTGCCCTCAATAGATTCATTGCTTCATTTTATAACTAAAAACCTCCGTTATTAGGACTCAATGAAGGTAAAAAGTACTCAAAATCGAAGTTCAAGAAGATGCTGTCCGAGCACAATCTGGTAACATCACGTGACCTCTTTTAAGCAGAATGTATATAATTCAAGGGTGTTATTACACGATTGCTGCCTAAAACATCATAAATAATACGCTTGTAACATTTATTGCTTCTGTTTAAGTCATAACATTGCAAAACGCAAAGTTTATCATGAAAGTCACGTGACCAAAGGTATAGCAGGGGTTGGGACAAGCACTCAAAGGATTTCAAGTTTTTTAATTAAATTATATAAGTTTCATGATGAAATTGAAAGAATGTATTTTTTCCTAATGAAATACAAATTTCCGTATGTAAAATATTTTCCTTATGGGCAAAATTCTCCATATAAGAAATGTCAGTGACGTCACCAGGGCTTTACTGGGCTTTACTCAAAACATCGGACCTACCTGTTTCTTATAGGTATCTTGGGTGCAGAATGGTGTCCTCTATCGAAAATCCTAGTGCCAAAATGCGGGGAATCCATCAGGGGGCCACAAATCCCAAAAAACAGTATGCCCTCAGGGCACAATCGACGAACTTTGAAAACCCCACTTCTAGCCGTCAAAACAGCTAAAAATGCACGTCATTCGAAAGAGGACAAAATTTTACGTGCAACGGTACCAAATTTAGGGGGCTAGCGCCCCCCTGAACCGAACAAAACAGCTTCAAATATATGGGCCCGGGAGTATGCCCTCGGGGCATAAATAAACGTTTTCAACAATTTCAGGCCTATAACATCGACAAAATCCAGCAATATGCACGTCATTGGAAAGAGCGTAATTTCCCAAACAAAAAACCCAAGTAACATTTTTCGATGGGGCCCACCTGGGGCCCACGGGACCCAATTGAAATTTGGGGCCCAATGGGGCGGCCCCTACGATTTTCTTCAAAATTTGCACAGACACTCTCCTGGGCCCCCTCTTCAATCTGGCTGAAGAAACCTACCGGGAAATCCAAAGGAAGGGGCCCAAAGAGGGCCCCAAAGAGGCCCTTTCTAAGTATTGCCCCTAATTTCGCGACCAACCCCGGCAATATGCACATCATTGGAAAGAGCGTAATTTCCCAAACAAAAAACCCAAGTAACATTTTTCGATGGGGCCCACCTGGGGCCCACGGGACCCAATTGAAATTTGGGGCCCAATGGGGCGGCCCCTACGATTTTCTTCAAAATTTGCACAGACACTCTCCTGGGCCCCCTCTTCAATCTGGCTGAAGAAACCTACCGGGGAATCCAAAGGAAGGGGCCCAAAGAGGGCCCCAAAGAGGCCCTTTCTAAGTATTGCCCCTAATTTCGCGACCAACCCCGGCAATATGCACATCATTGGAAAGAGCGTAATTTCCCAAACAAAAAAGCCAAGTAACATTTTTCGATGGGGCCCACCTGGGGCCCACGGGACCCAATTGAAATTTGGGGCCCAATGGGGCGGCCCCTACGATTTTCTTCAAAATTTGTACAGACACTCTCCTGGGCCCCCTCTTCAATCTGGCTGAAGAAACCTACCGGGGAATCCAAAGGAAGGGGCCCAAAGAGGGCCCCAAAGAGGCCCTTTCTAAGTATTGCCCCTAATTTCGCGACCAACCCCGGCAATATGCACATCATTGGAAAGAGCGTAATTTCCCAAACAAAAAACCCAAGTAACATTTTTCGATGGGGCCCACCTGGGGCCCACGGGACCCAATTGAAATTTGGGGCCCAATGGGGCGGCCCCTACGATTTTCTTCAAAATTTGCACAGACACTCTCCTGGGCCCCCTCTTCAATCTGGCTGAAGAAACCTACCGGGGAATCCAAAGGAAGGGGCCCAAAGAGGGCCCCAAAGAGGCCCTTTCTAAGTATTGCCCCTAATTTCGCGACCAACCCCGGCAATATGCACATCACTGGAAAGAGAGTAATTTCCCAAACAAAAAACCCAAGTAACATTTTTCGATGGGGCCCACCTGGGGCCCACGGGACCCAATTGAAATTTGGGGCCCAATGGGGCGGCCCCTACGATTTTCTTCAAAATTTGCACGGACACTCTCCTGGGCCCCCTCTTCAATCTGGCTGAAGAAACCTACCGGGGAATCCAAAGAAAGAGGCCCAAAGAGGGCCCCAAAGAGGCCCTTTCTAAGTATTGCCCCTAATTTCGCGACCAACCCCGGCAATATGCACATCATTGGAAAGAGCGTAATTTCCCAAACAAAAAACCCAAGTAACATTTTTCGATGGGGCCCACCTGGGGCCCACGGGACCCAATTGAAATTTGGGGCCCAATGGGGCGGCCCCTACGATTTTCTTCAAAATTTGCACAGACACTCTCCTGGGCCCCCTCTTCAATCTGGCTGAAGAAACCTACCGGGGAATCCAAAGGAAGGGGCCCAAAAAGGGCCCCAAAGGGGCCCTTTCTATGTATTGCCCCTAATTTCGCGACCAACCCCGGCAATATGCACATCATTGGAAAAAGCGTAATTTCCCAAACAAAAAACCCAAGTAACATGTTTCGATGGGGCCCACCTGGGGCCCACGGGACCCAATTGAAATTTGGGGCCCAATGGGGCGGCCCCTACGATTTTCTTCAAAATTTGCACGGACACTCTCCTGGGCCCCCTCTTCAATCTGGCTGAAGAAACCTACCGGGGAATCCAAAGAAAGGGGCCCAAAGAGGGCCCCAAAGAGGCCCTTTCTAAGTATTGCCCCTAATTTCTCGACCAACCCCGGCAATATGCACATCATTGGAAAGAGCGTAATTTCCCCAGGAGAGTGTCCGTGCGAATTTTGAAGAAAATCGTAGGGGCCGCCCCATTGGGCCCCAAATTTCAATTGGGTCCCGTGGGCCCCAGTTGGGCCCCATCGAAAAATGTTACTTGAGTTTTTTGTTTGGGAAATTACGCTCTTTCCAATGATGTGCATATTGCCGGGGTTGGTCGCGAAATTAGGGGCAATACTTAGAAAGGGCCTCTTTGGGGCCCTCTTTGGGCCCCTTCCTTTGGATTCCCCGGTAGGTTTCTTCAGCCAGATTGAAGAGGGGGCCCAGGAGAGTGTCTGTGCAAATTTTGAAGAAAATCGTAGGGGCCGCCCCATTGGGCCCCAAATTTCAATTGGGTCCCGTGGGCCCCAGGTGGGCCCCATCGAAAAATGTTACTTGGCTTTTTTGTTTGGGAAATTACGCTCTTTCCAATGATGTGCATATTGCCGGGGTTGGTCGCGAAATTAGGGGCAATACTTAGAAAGGGCCTCTTTGGGGCCCTCTTTGGGCCCCTTCCTTTGGATTCCCCGGTAGGTTTCTTCAGCCAGATTGAAGAGGGGGCCCAGGAGAGTGTCTGTGCAAATTTTGAAGAAAATCGTAGGGGCCGCCCCATTGGGCCCCAAATTTCAATTGGGTCCCGTGGGCCCCAGGTGGGCCCCATCGAAAAATGTTACTTGGGTTTTTTGTTTGGGAAATTACGCTCTTTCCAATGATGTGCATATTGCCGGGGTTGGTCGCGAAATTAGGGGCAATACTTAGAAAGGGCCTCTTTGGGGCCCTCTTTGGGCCCCTTCCTTTGGATTCCCCGGTAGGTTTCTTCAGCCAGATTGAAGAGGGGGCCCAGGAGAGTGTCTGTGCAAATTTTGAAGAAAATCGTAGGGGCCGCCCCATTGGGCCCCAAATTTCAATTGGGTCCCGTGGGCCCCAGGTGGGCCCCATCGAAAAATGTTACTTGGGTTTTTTGTTTGGGAAATTACGCTCTATCCAATGATGTGCATATTGCCGGGGTTGGTCGCGAAATTAGGGGCAATACTTAGAAAGGGCCTCTTTGGGGCGCTCTTTGGGCCCCTTCCTTTCGATTCCCCGGTAGGTTTCTTCAGCCAGATTGAAGAGGGGGCCCAGGAGAGTGTCTGTGCAAATTTTGAAGAAAATCGTAGGGCCGCCCCATTGGGCCCCAAATTTCAATTGGGTCCCGTGGGCCCCAGGTGGGCCCCATCGAAAAATGTTACTTGGGTTTTTTGTTTGGGAAATTACGCTCTTTCCAATGATGTGCATATTGCCGGGGTTGGTCGCGAAATTAGGGGCAATACTTAGAAAGGGCCTCTTTGGGGCCCTCTTTGGGCCCCTTCCTTTGGATTCCCCGGTAGGTTTCTTTAGCCAGATTGAAGAGGGGGCCCAGGAGAAAGTCTGTGCAAATTTTGAAGAAAATCGTAGGGGCCGCCCCATTGGGCCCCAAATTTCAATTGGGTCCCGTGGGCCCCAGGTGGGCCCCATCGAAAAATGTTACTTGGGTTTTTTGTTTGGGAAATTACGCTCTTTCCAATGATGTGCATATTGCCGGGGTTGGTCGCGAAATTAGGGGCAATACTTAGAAAGGGCCTCTTTGGGGCCCTCTTTGGGCCCCTTCCTTTGGATTCCCCGGTAGGTTTCTTCAGCCAGATTGAAGAGGGGGCCCAGGAGAGTGTCTGTGCAAATTTTGAAGAAAATCGTAGGGGCCGCCCCATTGGGCCCCAAATTTCAATTGGGTCCCGTGGGCCCCAGGTGGGCACCATCGAAAAATGTTACTTGTGTTTTTTGTTTGGGAAATTACGCTCTTTCCAATGATGTGCATATTGCCGGGGTTGGTCGCGAAATTAGGGGCAATACTTAGAAAGGGCCTCTTTGGGGCCCTCTTTGGGCCCCTTCCTTTGGATTCTCCGGTAGGTTTCTTCAGCCAGATTGAAGAGGGGGCCCAGGAGAGTGTCTGTGCAAATTTTGAAGAAAATCGTAGGGGCCGCCCCATTGGGC